AAAAAAAAACAGTGAAGCAATAGAGAATAGAGGAGAATATGTGTGAGTATACATATATATATATATATGCAAGAAAATAATTCGATTCTTACCGCTTATATTTCTGTCAATATCGTCAGAACAAGCGCCTGAAAAAAAACACAGCAAATAAAACGTGCATATATCAATCTGCTTCATTCTAGAGAGTACAGAACGGAATCAATCCAACAATCTACTGATAGTGTATATTTGTTCGTGTTTGCCAATATAAATATTCTATATTCAGTATCAATTAATGTAAGTCAATCAATCGCAAAAATCTATAATATAGTAATAGCAAGACAGTTATTTTTTGTTTTTAATATTTGAGTATTGTTATCATAGAATTTTATATGACATAATAGTGTGATAGGTGTTATATGTATTATTGATAAAAAGAAAAGATGATCAGTAATTTTACTTCTCATTTTGCTTCTTTTAAATAGCAGGATGTTCTAGTTAGTAAATTATAGGAATCGTATGCGACTTAGAAAGAACGAAAGAGAGAAGAAAAGAAAAGCAAGAGCTTAGACGAAGTAGTATTAACAGACGCTCACTTCAAAAAGGAAACGCCAACAAGAAGGTCAGAATATAAATTATTACTGCAATTTGACTACTATCTTTTGGAAAGAAGAAAAGAATTTATTTTATGCCAAATTATTGTGCAAAAATGTTAACAATGTGTTTTTCTACTACTGGTAAGTTATACTATTGTCTCTTTCTCTCTCTATATATATACAATACTATTCGTGTGTAACATGTTTTTCATTCTTTCTATCATTACTATTCTATTAAATAGATCTCTAAAATTGAATAAACGATCCATTCTATTATTTTTATTTTAAATTTGCTATTCAATTCAATTATCTGTCTGTCTATCTATCTATATATATATTTACAAGCAGTAGTATCTAATATTGACTAACACTTAGATTCTACCTCATTAACATCCATCTATTCCGAACCATAGTTCTTTCTTAGAACTCTGCCCCCTTCCTGTTTTGTTGTTGTTGTTGTTATAGGCATTACAATAAACATATAGCATAAGTACTAGATTTAATGATCATCGATAATTGCTTGTAAAAAAATTGACACGAAAGACAACATAATCGTAGATAATAATATAAATAAAGGTGGAGCACCCGTTATTTTATATATTAATACAAAAAAATAGACATGACATATATAGATATAATAGGATTGAATATAAATCTAACAAATATTTGTCTGTTGTTTTTTTATTTCACATATATTTAATGTCAGTACTAATAACATTCAGTTCATATACTTTGATATCCTCAATATAATTTAAAGACAGATATTATTAGCGTCAATAGAACAAATAAATCTTTAAATAGTTCATGACGTCAATGACTTTCTTTATTTATTCTATGGAAATCATACTCAATATAAGTTTGATAAAACACAGTACTCTTTCCTTTTTCTTTTTTCTTCTTTTCATATAAGCTTAGAAATTTCTATCGAAATAAAAAAAAAATACGATGTATTGTCGTATAACAGGACGTGTTATTCGGAAATGCGAATGTAAACCAAACATTTGCAAAAAACACGATTAGAATCATAGAAATGATAGAAAACAATGTCAAAATCGATTATAAATGCCGATTGGCATATAAACTGATTTAGATGAATGACATTAATGCATTAGAGAATAATATAAAGTTAAATCAGTCTTATATTCCACTTTTTCTTTTCTCAATCATTTAAACAGTAATCGTAGATAGAATTGAGTCTAAAACTATATCTATTTTATTTTTTTCCATCCTTTTTTTTTTTTGATTTCTATTTTATTAAAAAAAAGAAGAAATCTAAAAATTATATATACATTATTCGGAAATGAAAAACAAATCGGAGTGTAATAATATGTTGAATTGTGTCATACTAGAGAGAAAAATATGACAGATGTTATTACTACATCTAAAGCATCCTATAAAAACGAGTTTTGCTCATATAGATCTATCTCTTATTTCTTCTGCGTATTTTTGTTTTGTTTGCATCTATTTTTTTTCTCTCGTATTGCCTATCATCAATAGACAAGAAATAAATATAATGACATATCTGATAGATGACATATGTTCATTTTCGCATATTCTTAAGACAGACATATTATTTTGTTAAGATGACAAAATATATGATGATTCAGTAGAAAAATTCGGATTAATCATACACAAATATAAGTATTTTATTGATTTATCTATTTCAATTTTTATCATTGACGTCATGCCAAAGTGGCTTGGTAAGTTTTTCTTTTGCGTATATTTATATGGACTTACTAATTATTTAAATATCAATGACGTAGAGCATTCCTGCTCTTTCTCATACTCTATATTTCTGTGTAGAGTATTTATCCATTAGGTTTTTGATGTATATATATATGTTTCTTCGTATTTTTCTTTTTGTTATTGCTACATTACAGTTGATAAGTGCTGTTAGTTATTAGTACCGGTTCAAGAATTTTAGTTGTTCTACACCTAAAGGAGAACGAAGTTTAGATTAGATATCAAATAGAAAATATCGAGAGACAGAGAAAACATGAAACAGATTTCCGCTATGATAAAAATGTGTTGTTTAAAACAGTATGACTGTCAGTAAAATCGGTAACGATGTATGCTTTTTTTGTTTCTTTTATTTTATTACATCAATACAGAATTGCGATATGTTTAAGCTAGAACAAAAATAAACATCGCCAACAAATAAAATCATCAAGTGAGAGAGAAGGAAAGAATCAGTTATTTTAAAAATAATTTTTGTTTTTTTATAACACGTCCGATTTTTTCCATGTAAGTTGTCTTTTTTTCCTTTGAAAATTGAATAGCTTTAAATAAATTTGCAAGAAATATATAAACTAAAGGAAACTATAGAATGCAAGTCTTTGCGCTCTATATAGTTACGAGTGGTTGTAGCAAGCGCAAAAGGATGTTAGGCGGAGAACAAGAAGAGGAAACAAATGCGCAGAACGAACGGGAGAGAGAATGCTCTGAGCATGATGTGCGGCTGGCTTACTAGCTGACTGGCAAAAAAAGGAAAGGATGAAAACACACGTGTTATTGTCCTTTTGCATTCTGTACGCGCGCTTATATGCTTGGTGTTATGTTGAAAAAAAAAGAAGACGTAAAAGAAGGAAATAGAAGACGACCTTGTCAGCATACTGAGACAACGTTTCGGTCGACTACTACTATTGTAGCGCGATTACGTCTTGTTTAATCATCAAAATATAATAACATGCAACCTTTTTTTTACGCATTTTATTAACGCTTCTCACTATAAAGCGCTCATATTGTAGCGTTCTTTTTTCTTAGTTTTTTTCTCTAATCTCTTTTTTACGCGAGTCAATATTGACTTTGTTTTTTTTTCATTTTTGCTTTTTGAATTTTCCACCAGGATTATTATCAATAGTATAATAATATTATTATTTTTTTTATATTTATTTCTATAGAAAAAATGAGTAGTCCAGTAACGAGCAACTTAAATTCAACTATAAATGGTACATTAACACTTCGTGTGACTGATGGTCAAACAAGTGTAGAAAATGGGCGTAAATTTACAACGTATAAAGTTTCTGTAAATCATAATGGACGAGAATGGGAAATATGGCGACGTTATAAAGAATTTAATTCATTGAATGAAAAAGTAAGAAACAATATTTTTTTTTTTTAATTAAATTTTATATTTACATCTAGCTTCGTCGTATTCGTTCTGATCTAAAAGTACCAGGTCGCCGTCTTTTAGGAGATTCTTTTGAACCAGATTTTATACTAAAACGTCAACGTGGTCTTGATGAGTATGTTCAACAAATTGCTTCAAATAGTCAGCTTGTGAATTTGTAAGTATAGAAGAAAAAAAGTACCTATATAAATACTCTTGAGTCATATTTAATAAATCATTTACTAAGCATGGACGATTAGCTTTTTTTTCTTCTTATCATTTCTATGTTTTCGATTTATCATGCGTCATTCTCTTTAACAAATTACCAATATCTATCTATTTATTGATGTATCATTAGATAATGTTGTTTATCGATTATTTCTTTTTATTTTTAGACCTGAATTTATCGAATTTTTTGGACTTAATGCAGCATCACCAAATGGATCACTTGCATTAACAGCAAGTGCATCACCGACAAGTAATGGTAATGACAATACTGCAAAGGCAAATGTCGACGAAGCGGAAGATTCATCTGCATCGGTATTTAGAAAGAAAAAAGAAACCTTTTTCCTCTTTTCTTCTATTTTTAATAATCTATTATTTTTTCCTTTGTAGTCTGATATCGGTCGTGTCAATTTAGGAAAAACAGAAAAAACTACGTATGTTATATTATAATACTAATCTTTTTAAATATATTTATTTATTATTAATAGAGTTAAACCGGATGATTTCGAATTTAAAACATGTATAGGAAAAGGTTCATTCGGAAAAGTATATTTAGCTAAACATAAAACTGAAGATGTAATCTATGCAGTTAAAGTTGTAAGTAAAGCATTAATAAAACGAAAACGAGAAGAACGTCATATAATGGCTGAACGTGATGTTCTTGTTAAAAATACTCATCATCCATTTCTTGTTTCACTTCAATTTTCATTTCAAACACCTGACAAACTTTATTTTGTTATGGATTTTGTTAATGGTGGTGAAGTATGTGTTAGAATTTTTAATTTAATTTATTTTATTATTTATTTATGTCTATTAGTTATTCTTCCATTTACAACAAGAACGAGCTTTTAGTGAACAACGAGCAAAATTTTATGCAGCTGAAATAACATCAGCTATTGGTTATCTTCATAGACTTGATATTATATATCGAGATTTAAAACCAGAAAATATTTTACTTGATCGAGATGTATTTATTTTTAATAGAAACAATTCGTATTATTTATATTTTAAAATTTTTTCTTAAGGGACATATTCGTTTAACTGATTTTGGTTTATGTAAAGTAATGTTATCAACGGAAGGACGTGAAGGAAAAACAGCAACATTTTGTGGTACACCCGAATATCTTGCTCCTGAAGTTTTACGTCGAGAACCATATACAAAAGCTGTTGATTGGTGGTGTTTAGGTTCAGTTATTTATGAAATGTTATGTGCTCGAGTATGTTTTAAAATATACTTTCTTTCCATTTTTTTCTAAAATATTATTTTTAGCCACCATTTTATTCTCGTGATGTTAATGAAATGTATGATAATATATTAAATCGTTCACTTCGTTTTATTGGGAATATATCTGATCGTGCTAAAAATTTAATTGAACAAGTTTGTTATGATATTAATTTTTGAAGAAAAAAAACAAAATGTTTTTTTTATTTATTTAGCTATTACGAAAAAGTCCTAGTGAACGATTAGGTAGTGGATCAGAAGATGTAGCTGAAATAAAACGTCAACCATTTTTCGAACAAATTGATTGGGAAAAATTAGAATTAAGAAAGGTTGCACCACCATGGAAACCATCTGTTAATAGTTCAACAGATCTTAATCAAATTCCTAAAGAATTTATCGAAGCTGGAGTATCACCCGGTGTACATGAACCATATGTTGGTAGTATGACAAATAAAGGTTCATCATTTCCTGGATTTACATATGTTCATGATGCGGATTTGAATAATTAATTCGATTATTTTCAGAAGTTATTTTTTCTAAACCAAAACCAGTGAAGATTAGATATATGAGTATATATATATACGTCTTTTTCTGCCATAACATTCCGTTGTTTTTTTTTTCGAATTTTTGGGTGTGTATTTTCTTATCCATGCATCTACCTTATTCTTTTGTATAGCTATTAATTGTATGAGTGCTTTATTCTTCTTCTTCTTCAGTTTTTTTTTAAATAAAAAGAATCACACTGATAGTCATCTACAAATATGTGATGATATATTAATAGAATGTATTCAAATCAAGGATAAGTTGAATTTTATCACGATTATAAAATTACGTACGCAGTAACAAGTTACATCATATACAAAAATAAAAAATGAGGAGGCGTTCGATTAATTGATGTCTGTTTTATCTTATTTAACATTTAAACATGCGCACTAGTTATAATTAATGATAGACGTGACTTAATTAAAAATGTCTTATTTGTTAATAGAATGACTGTTGTCATTGACATAGCCCACTTCGTATATGATCTAAACTATTTGCATGATTAATTGTCTCTTTACATGATCTAACCTATATATACATAGAAGCACTTTTTAAATATAGTAAAAATTGTAGGATGTTTGTTTTAAGTACTTTTTCCATAAATTTAAATGTCGGATGTATGATACTTGTGATGAAATTTTAAATATAATTATTATATATAATCTAGATCTATTATAGACAAGATTATTATTTTCATAAAAATGTCTACTCCCGAAAAATATTGATTATTTAATTATGAATTATAAATAGATTATTTTCTCATAAATTTCGTTACTAATCTATACATCTATTGGAATTTTCTAGACTACTTCTAAAGAGAAAATAAGATCGATAATATCTCCGAAAATGCACTAGGTCTTTTATCTATAATAGTCATTGATATGCGTAGAATGTTTTCGTCTCTTGAAATACGCTAAGAGTACGTCGTATTATTTTATAATAATTCAATATGACTGGAAAATAACTGATCTTATCAAAAGTCTTTAATATTGTTTTTAATAATTTTAATTATAAAGAATCCTTTAAAACGAAACATTTTCTAAATATAAAAATACGCGTGATCAATCAGGTAGAATTAATGCTTCAACATCAGAAAGACTTCATACAGCTTCATAAGACTCAAAAAAATGTTACAAACAACGCAATAGACTTTGGAAAAATGTCATCGATTTATTGGAGCATATGATCGACATTTTAATCAATTTGAGTCTGAATCTTGATAACAATAAAATTTAAATTATAAATTTTGTTTCAACAGTCAATATTGTATATTTTATAAGTTCATATTTATTCTTATTTTCATTAGTAAAAGATAATATTTACAAAGGAATCTTTTTTTTGATTAGTTACTAGTTTGCCGATTCTAAAACATATGTTTAACATTCCTCTGTTATCGTATATTTTGTGTACATAACACAAAACAAAATAATTCACTGCATATATTCCTTCGTTTTGGTAAATGCTTTCAATGAAAATATTGTACAATTTTACTAACCTCAATACATTTAAATTCCTTGATATATTTCTTAATTAACACACTGAATTATATAGTTTACAAAAGAGCCTTTTCCCCGATGTTTATCTATTCTTCGTTCTCAAATCAATTCTCGGGGCAATATATGATTGTAAATATGTAATCTAGGCATCATACTTTCTAAAAACAACTAAATAACTGATTGCTTTTCAAGACGGGAAATACGGTTCACTAACGATTGATATTTTTTGCATTGCATGTTAGTTATATATTTTTTGATTTGATATATTTACTCTTTGCGTTTCATTTGTTTAATATAAAATCAAATGTTTATTTATTTTCTAAGTACACAACAAGATTTTTCTAGATTTATTTGTTTTTCCTTTTTTCAGACAACAATTTTACACAGAACAAATTTAAACAACAAGTCCACCTTTTTCCATTTCTAAAGCTGGATTAAAACGTTTTCCAAAACCACCTCGACCTGGATCATAATCTTTGCGATATTCATCACGTACCTAGAAAAATAAGATTGTAAAAAAATCTAAATACTCTATAGAAAACAAACCTGTCCACCACTTCGTCCTCGACCAAATTGACGTCCATCAATAAAACCAGCATCCCAATCAGTTCGTATAATTCTGTCATCAAGACGTGTTTGATTTATATATCGCATAGCTTGCTCAGCATCATTTCTTGTATAATATTCAACAAAACAAAATCCACCTAAAAGAAAAAAAACAAATTTTAATAACCCAAAAAAAATAAGACGAAATAATTTACATGGTGTTTTGGTTGTTTTATCTAAACCCATAATAATTCGTTTAACGTCGCCAGCACGTGAAAATAATTCATGTATTTGTTCTTCTGTTGTAAAAAATGATAAATTTCCAACATAAAGTGTTGTACTTTGTAATAATTTTTTATCTTGTTCGACTTCATTACCCTAATTTAAATAATAAAGAAAGAAAAATGAATATAATTCAATTGAATTCATAAATCTATTATTAATTTTACTCGAAATTGTCGATCACGATATGAACTAAGTGCAACTGATTTTTGAAAAAGAAAAGGTATTGTCAAATCCGACATTATTTATCTGAAAAACAAAAGCAAATATATGTATTTGTTTTTTATCTAAGCCATTTTCATAAAAATAATACACCAATTTCCATCATCATTATATGAATTAATGATTTTAACCTGAGATATATGACTTAATATATGTTCAAGTTCATCTTTAACAAAAACGTGATAGTATCTCAAAAGTTTTTCCGTTGGTTTAGTCCATGGAACAAGACAATCAGGTTGTTGAAATTCAGTTCGTGGTGTATGAATAATTATTTCATTCGTTTGTTCATTTTTTGTATGAACTGGGCACGTTTTAGTATTTTTATTAGTAATATATGTACTTTTTTTATTTTCTACTTCTTGCTCTTTTGCCCATACTGTAATAAGTGCTTGTCCACCTGGTTTTAATAAACGAACGATTTCTTTTAAAGCCATTAATCTACGATTCTAAATTATTGAAAATAATATTTTTCTTTCAAAAGAAAATTTCCTATATACTTCAGTACTAATATGATGAAGAACAGCAATACAAATAACACCATCGAACATATTCGTTGGTACAGGAATATTCATACAATCAGAAAGAAATACTTGATATTGACGATCACGACATATACTTAAAAGACCTTCACTTCGATCACAACCAATCTATGAATATAACAAACAAATTCAAAAATGAAACTAATTTCGTTACCATCATTAAATCATTTCTTATATTCATATATTTTCCATTACCACAACCAACATCAAGAATAAGTGAATGACTTGGAAATGAACGTAAAAATTCAACTACACGTGGCCATGGTTTATGACGAGTATCACTAAAATTATGAGCTATATTATTATAAACTTTATGAACATGTTCTTGTTCAAGTTGACAAGCATCTAAATCAGATTTTGGTATTGTTGGTAATATTGATTGATGAGGAGGAGAAGAAGATGATGACATTTAATAAATAGAAGAATAATGTATATTAAATCTAAAAATCAAAAAATAATAGAGAATATGGAAAAATAATAATAGTAATAAAATTAAATATCTCGTTCATAAATTTCTAAATGATATAATGGTGTTTCATCATTTTCATCTGACTGGTTAAAAAATTGCTGGTATTCATCTGGAATTGTTTCAATACGTTTAAATTTTGATACATCAAGTGATGACCAAACAGCTGTACATTGAAAATCACCTTTAATACGTGTTAAAAATACACGTTTAACAAGATTTGTTTTCATTGCTTCTTCATAGATTCTTACACCACCACCAATAAAAATATTTTCAATATTTGAATCTTCGTTTGCATATTTTAATGCATCATTAAATGAATTAACTCGAATAACATTTGAATAATCTATATTGGGTAATGTTTGATTACTGCTAATAACAATATTTAAACGATTAGGTAATGGTTTTGGAAATGTTTCATATGTTTTTCGTCCAATAATAACAGCATTTTGTTTATTATTATCATTTTTCTGTGTTGTAACATAACGAAAAAATTTTAAATCATTTTTAATATGCCATGGAATTGTATTATTACGTCCAATACCATTACATTCATCCAAAGCAACAACAATTGTTAAATATTTTTTATCCATTTGTAGTCTTGAAAAAAAACGACGAAAAATAATCATCAAGAAAATAAAAAAGTTAAAAGAAACATTTGAAAAATTTTTTTGTAAAAAAAAATAAAAGTAAAAAATGCTATGGTTCATTTCCACATTTATGAAACTCTTATTGCCAGTTTAATTAATATCGATTGATTTTTCGTAGTTGTTATTGATTGTTAGAAGTAGATTGGAATGATAAGTAGCGGAACTGTTTAGATTTAGAGAGACTCGAGTTAATTAATGAAAATCATCTCAATTCGTCTTACGCGATAGTGTAACACAGAATTCCTATGGTCATAAAACTCAGGGAAACAATGTGAATATTATATTCTAACGAATTGTACAAGTTCGTTCTTATCTCATCATTGTATCACTACTTTGAAAATTTCATTTGAGCCTCTCCTGAATCAATTTTGGCTCCATCGTAAAGTCAAGTAATAAATATAAACCATAACGTTCTCAATCTATTTCCATATAAGCAATCGACAGTCGTTTGTTTCATAATGAAATACTGCATTATTCTTATACAATACCTTTTTTTTAATCAATCGATATCGTTCTGCTATTCTCATTAGTCATATAAATCGACCAATCATATGATAAACGTATTTTAACGAGAGCAAAGCACATATTTTTTTGTATATTTAACAAATTTGAAAAATTTAATTTTAATTTAATTTATAAAAATAAATTTATAAAGTGATTAAGATTATTGACTAACTGATTAAGATTAACCAATGGATATAATAATGACGTCAGATGGTTGAACATCGTCACGTGGCTATTTTTTTTCGTTCTGTTTTGATTTTTTTATAATGGCTGAGGCAACAATATCGAATGATGTTCAACAAAATCTATCATCAAATACTGTTTCAAATGTAAATGAAATACCATTATTAACGACAACTGATCATGTACCATTAGATTCAGGTGATATTAATGAACCACCAACAAAAAAATGTAAAAATATATCAACTGATAAACCTCGTTTACTCGAGGAACGAATTGGATCAATTTTATCATGCTGTATTTGTTTGGATCTTTCGACATTAGCAATGTTTCAAGTAAAATTTCTTCTTAAGAAAAATTTCTCTTAATTTTTACTTCTCAGTGTGTCAATGGACATCTTATGTGTGCTTCATGTTTTAATCATTTATTAGCTGATTGTAAATTAAAAGATGAACAAACAACATGGTATTTTTCTTTTTTTTTTGTTATAAATAAATTTTCTTTTTTTTTCTTCTTAGTCCAAATTGTCGTTGTGAAATATCCAAAACAAATTGTACACGAAATTTAGCAGTTGAAAAAACAATATCCGAATTACCAATACAATGTCATCATTGTTTTCAAATATTTTTACGTTCCGAAATTAAATTACATCAATCAGAAAACTGTCCCGATCGGTATTAATTTAAATTATTAAAAATATATATACGAAAGAAATGTTGTTGTTTCTTTATCTAGACCAACAAATTGTGATTATTCATTACTTGGATGTACTTGGAATGGATCATTTCATAAATTAGCATCACATTTAATTGTATGTGAATATCCAACTAAAACTGGTTTACAATTAATTAATACAATACGAGTACAAAAAAAATCATGTGATGAAGAAAAAAAATGTCTTGAAACAGTAGTTGATCTTCTTTCACTTAATCAAATTGGCGTTAGTGGTAAGTTATTAGAAAAAATACAACGCAATTTCATCTCTTCCTGTTCTTTTCTTAATAGATCTTATATTAAAACCATTTCGAACGGATGATTTTGTTGCTAAACTTTATTTCGAAACATCACGTTTTACTGCATTACAATATCAATGGCAAGTACGTGCTCGTATTAATGATAATACTCCACATCCACATACAACAGTTACACGATCATTAAGTTATCAATTAGTTCTTAAATCTAAAATAAGTCAAACAATTGATTTGAAATTTTTTATTCTCAAAGGACCACATGGTGATCCATCGACAGTACAAATTCAACCAATTATTTATCATTTTGAATTTAATCAAAATAATACAGAAACTGAATATCTTAAATTACCGATAAGTTCACAAGAATGTAATCGAATATTATCATCATCATCAATTAGCTTTCGTTTACTTATGGTACAACTGGATAGACCTTGAAAACAAAAAAGCCGAATATCTCATTTTATTTTATCGTTCAGATACATATATATATAACAAGGATGAAAATTTTATTCTATATTGAAATGTTGATGATTTTTTTTAATGTATTATATACAACTTATTGTACACATATATATATACTTTTGATTTTTTGTTTTCGAACACATTTATGCCATTATTTTAGAAATATATATATATGAAAACAACGACTGAAAATATAATCTTCTTTTTCAATAATGTGCGATTCAAGAGAATATGGAATTCATTGTATATATAATCTCTGAGAGAATTGTATATTTTTGCTAATCTATATCGATTATATGCATACTAATTACTTTTTTTTTGACTGGATTAATAGATAGATAGATAGATCAAAATCAATTTACTATTGATATTGATTTTCTCTAAACATTATATATATGAAAGATAGTCTTACTATTAATCTTATATTAATTATCAAAATCTCTATGGGCATAAATGAAATTAAGATAGAAAAAAAAATCTATAATTGCTTACCTAATGAGATACAATATTCACAGTTACGATCTATTTTTAAAAATAGCGAAAATTCTTGTACTTTTTATAAAATATTTCATGTTATTTTTCTTATTGAAATAAATATTAAAATTTGACAAGTCTATTTATTATTTAAAACGAATATTTAATATGAATTGTAAAAAATTTATAAACATAATAAAGGACTCAAGAAAACTAGAAAAAGTCAGAAGGAAAGAAATAATGAGAGTTAAAAATAAGAAAAAAAAGAAATAGAGAAGAAAAATAACGTGTAGAATCTAAATGTCCCTGTTAAACATTTTTTTTTTCATTTTATCGGTTTTTTTTGTCGCTATTAGTAATTATATTTCATATAATAAAACAAAATTATAAATGTTGTAAAATAAAGTATCGTAAATTGAGTGATAATAATAAAACAAAAAATCGACCTTAGTTATCTGTAAGAATCAGTTTCTTTTTATAAACAGGTTGTCATAAAATATCAAGAGAGAATCATCCTAATCTTTCAGTAAATGATGACTTATAAGAAGTAAGATGTAAAATAATATGAATTGAAATATATCTGCCAATCGTATAAGAAAAAAAAAGAGCATAAAAGAAAAAAAAGACTCTAATGTGATTCATCTTAGTAAGGGTTTTTTTTCGCTTTTCTGTGTAGTGCAATCAAATGCTATTAGAAGTAAGAATAACAATAACAAGACACTCATGAGAATAGCTTTATACTGTCATTTTTTTCCATTTCTGGCATCACTCATCATTCTCGATCTGTTGAAGATCCGTATTGATCTTTTTTTTCTTCTTCTTCATTTATCATAAGTCTATAGAAGTGCAAAATTAGTAATAGAAGACAGAGAAAAGAATAAAAAAAAGAAGAAAAAGAGTTGATTGAACAGAGACTTGACATACTTTCATTCTTTCTCTTATTCTTGTCTTATCTAATTGGATTTGTCAAGATCAAATAACGAACTACTACTATATTACTGATTGAGATAGTTGACGACAATTTATTTAATCCCAAGTTCAATATTGATAAACATCGATTGGAATTTTCTTTTATGGTATGTATAACTAAATAACAATAATTCTTAATTTTTAATAAAACGATCGAATGATAATTATCAGCATGTATAAACAAATGTTTGAATATTGTTGTTACTGATGGTAGTGGTAATAATGTTTTATATTTCTGTTCCTTTTCTTTTCATCGTTTCTTTACAATACATCTTACCTTTCCTCTCGTTTATTTTTGACATAACATATATTGGACAATATTTTTTTTACTGATTTCCTTTTCTGCTATTGAGTAACAAAAATGCTTGATCTAAATAGTTTTTTAATCGAAGAAAAGAAATAGAAAGATTTTTTTCTAATTATTTTGTTTTTTTTGAAAGGTTAATATCAAAACAATATATTTACTAATGAATACGAATCAAATATGACGTCTGATATTGATTTAGTTCGTAAAAAATTAGTTGTTGTTGGAAATGGTAATGTTGGTAAAACATCATTACTTTATGCATTTAAAGATAATCGATTTTGTCATGATTATGTACCAACATTATTTGAAGGAAATACTCATGTTATTGATATTGATAATAAACGTATTGAATTATTATTAATTGATACAGCTGGACAAGAAGAATATGCTCAGTAATATTTTTCTTTTTGTTTTTCTCTCTCTAATTTTATTTGTATTTTTAGACTTCGTGTACTTGGTTATCCAAATACTCAAGTTGTATTAATATGTTTTGCATTTGATTCACCAGATAGTTTAACATGTGTGTTAGATAAATGGGCACCTGAAGTCAAACATTATTGTCATAATGTTCCGATACTTTTAATTGCAAATAAACGTGATTTACGTGATGATTATTCTGTACATGAACGTATTAAAAATCAAAATCAAAAAATAATTACAACTGAAGATGCACTTTTATGTGCAAAACGAATTGGTGCAAAAAATTATCTTGAATGTTCAGCAAAAACACGTGAAGGTGTACGAGAAGTATTTGAATATGCAGCAAAAGTAGCATTAGATAAAGATTCACATGATAAATGTTTTTGTCCTTGTGTTTTGTTATAATACTACTATTTCTTTTTCCTTTTTTTTTTACATATAAAGAACGAAAGCTCACGTCCGTCCGTTGTGTTTTCTTTTTGTGTATATTCTTTTTTTTTTTTTGAAAATAACTGAATGATTATTCAAAAATAAATGTATTTTAAACATATATTTAGAAAAAAAAATCCGAAGCACAATAAATCTATCATGATTCATAAAATACTGACTTAAAAATGAATTAGTTATGACATGTGTTCTAGAACATTAAATAAATTCCTATGTTTTATTTACCGATGTCAATCAGTTGTAGACGATCAAGTATTATTAATACATATATAAACAAATATTAAAAGCATGCATACTATGAGTAATGTTATATTTACATAAATGGTGGTGACTCGTCTAAGAATGTCATACAGGAAGAGCTCTCTTAATGTACATATTTATATTGTATATAGATTTTTTTTGTGTTCTCTAAAAAAAAACTTTCATAATAGAAATCGCGCAATAGAATTATTCCTTTGCAATTGAATGTCTAGAATTGATTTCATTGAATTAATAGTATCGAAAAATGAATATATATCGTTTGAATAAAATAGATGATTCAGTTAAATCTAATGAATTTAGTCTTAATGGATAATATAATTAGAATAATTATGTTAATTTATTAGATATTCAAAGTTATGATTTACAATATAAAATATGTGTTGAAGTTGAATCTTATTATACATATTGACCTAAATATTTGACATGTATTTTTGATTAATAGTTTATATCTTATATTTTGTAAAACTATTAAAAATTTATTAGAAAAAGAAATATAAATTCTATTCGAATATCAGATCATATATCGCGTCTTCGACAAGATTTTCAATCAATGTTTTTACAAATAAACGAGATGTTTCTCGTGATTTAGAATTCCAATCAGTAGTTTGTGATTCAAATGATAATTTTATACTTTCATTGATGCGATCATTAAGTTGTTGTTTTACTTCATCCGACACTACTCTTCTACGTGCCATTTCATGAGCTTGTATTCCATTTTTATCTGGATAATCGGAGAAAAAAAGATTATGATAAGATTCAGGTGCAAAATAACGCATTTCATCAATAATACGATTAAGTTCCATCTATTAAAAATGTACAGATTAGAAAAGATTTCCATAGTACACGGACTTACTTGATAAGCTTGACGAATTGAAATCATACATTGAGCAACAGCACTAATAATTTCAGTTTCAAAATCATCATCAAGTATTGATCCTAGTGAACATTCATGTCTGTCAATTTTCGAAAAATCATCAGATCGATTACGGGATAATTGACGAATTGGTGTATTACTATATCGTTCATCATTTCGCTTACAACAACATACAGCACCCATGACAACAATGAGTTATAGTCTTTATCTATATATATATATACTCTATGATACTTTTATAACTGTAAAAATGTTAGTATTGAGTGTCTATCACGAAATGTTTAATTTAATCTTAAAGCATTACGTTAATCATTTCTGATTTAAAAAAATTTTCCTTTATTATTAATGCTGCAATACTGAAGATCATTAAATATTTATAACACCGAGAAAATTGATTTATGTTTTATTACTATGACATGATGACTATTGCCATCTAGATTTTTATCATAAATAAATTTTTTTCTACTTGTCACAATATACAACGAAGATAAACCAACCGTTATTAGGTTTTTTTTTCAAAAACTATCGATCTATTTTAAGATAAGTCTTACGCAATACCTTAGCACGTGCAGTATAGATATTTCGAAATACTCATACTACCCATAAATCCAATAAGTCTCAGCTACTTTTCTAAAATTTATTACAATAAATAATGCTACAAGATCTGTCATTGAATGATGTAGTAATGCCAAAATGTTACACACGAGTTGTCTGGATATACGATTATAAAATTGATGATTTAGAAAAACCGTTGATTGAATTTCTTAAACAACATTGTCCAACTGCATTTTGGCAAATTATTTATGACGATAAGAAGCCGGATTATGGTCAATTGAAAGAACCAATAGCAGATTCAAATAAAATATTTAGTCGAACTGAAAAATCCGATATATCAATTTCTCATTATATTAATTGTAGTTATCAAGAACTTGATGTATTCCCATATTCACATATGCCAACAGATACTTCACCTCTATTTTTTCTTCATCAAGTAAATGTTCATGATGGAACATTACTAGCATTTGGTATTCATCACCATTTTACCGATGGATATGGATTTTTTACATTAATCGATCAATTTTCTAAATGGATATGTCATCGAGATCATTCTAAAGTAACGCCATTCAATTATGATCGATCTTTATTAAAACCAGGAACTGAAATTCGTTATGAACATATCGAATATACATTAACACCATTTGTTTTTTATATTAAAGAAATGCCATCAATGGAGGTATTAGTTAAAAGATACACTAAACAAGAGCTATTTAATAAATTAAAAATTACTTCAATGAATCTTTCATTTAACGATGTTCTTGTTGCTTGGTTAACTCAAGTAATAAGTCGAATACGTCAAATACCATCAAATGAAACAGTTACTGTAGGTATGGCGAGTAATGGTCGAAATGAATTAGGAATTGGTTTAAATTATTTTGGTAATTGTAATTTTTTTGTTTGTTTTCAATTCAAAATGATTGATTTACTTAATAAATCTGTTGATGAATTAGCAAATCAAATTAATGCTGAGAAAAAACAGCGAATGACTAAAGATTATATGACATCAGGACTTACTTGGCTTGAACAAGCTTCATCAACTGTTTATCATGGTTTTCATGCTTTTTTAGGTAAAGATTTAGCTTTTACAAATTGGTCTTCTTTTCCTTTATATCAAGTTGATTTTGGACAAGGTACACCACGACGTGTTGCACTACCACCTGGTGAATGGGATGGTTTAATTTTAATTTTACCAACAGAAACAAATGAAGTGGAATTATATATTGGTTTAAAACAAGATCATGCTGATGAATTGCGTAAACAATTTGAATAAAACATCATTTCTTTTTTTCTTCATTTTAAACGGAATGATTTTTTTTTCTTGTTACAATTTAATCTATTTTTTGAATTAATTCATTAAATAAATACTAAACAATGATATTAGCAGTAGTTTATCTCTCGAGATTTACGATTTTTACCCGTGCAAAAAGAATAATTCAAAATCTATAATATAATAAGTTCTTCAATTTATCTTATTGATATTTCGTTGAAGATCAGATTATTAGTTTCATCGAGAATATTTACAATCAAAGTTATATTGTTTGATAAAAAATGCAAGTCTACTTTATTAGATTTATATCTCATTGAAATAAGAACAATCGAATATATGATTAGTACGAAGGAATATTTTTCTAAATATTACTATAGAATTCTGTTATGAAGAATCTAGCGATTTTTAGAATGTCTTAAAAGTCGAAGTTACAACAAATATCTTTTATGGAGAAATTAATCTTTGACGTTTAAAATAGATTCTTATTATATATTTGCATGTGACTATAGTTTGTAAAATCTCATCATTGTAAGAATCTTTTACGAAGAAAAGAAAAAGGATACTATGGTAACATAAAATTTAGTCATATCTAAGTATGATTAAATTATTTTTGTGTATATTCATGTTTATGATTCATTATCTTGAATATTTATGGAAATATGCTGATGAACCGATTGTATATCTGACAATTCAACAATGCAATAATGAACAATCATTATCATCTATTCGATCGTTTTTATTTGAACAATATGAGAAAGTTTTAATGTTTCTCTTTAACTTCTCATTGATGAAGAGAAAAGAACAAGAATGTTATCAGTACAAAATTAATCTACATCTTCCAATTCTATTCTTTATATTAAAATGTTTATATATTTTTTATTATCTTAGGCTTCTTTATAAAATTCTCGTTTGGTTTTATGAAAAACAATGTTATTTTCTTCTTCAACAACAAATAAAACCATTTGTACATATTCGATCAATAGCATTGATTAGTAGAAAATAACATTAAAAATTTTTATCGTAAATTCAAAAGAAAAAATAAAGTACTTTTCTAATAGAACTATTGCATCAGTTATTATTTCATGAGTCTGAAAAATACACTGAAATTTTTTCGAAGCACATTCAGTGTAACTTAAATCTTACAACAACCTTATCAACAATGTTTGTGATATGAAGTCATGTATGAATCATCAAGGCAAACTTAAAAGAAAAATCTAGAACATGTGAAGCACTTATTCGATTCTTCTAGAAAAATAGTTCTAAAACGTGTACAGGTGATACTTAAATCTGTGACACGATATTTCCGCGCAGTGTGTCTGAGTGATAGTGAGGGCGTACGGAAATATCGCGAAACCACTTAGATCGAATCGTAAAGCATGATAATATTGCAACAACTTTTTACGAAATACACTGGCTAGTTAGACTACTTCAGTTTTGTAAATATATGCATCATTTTCAACTACCATTAAATCCGTTGTCCGTCATTGAAAATTCATCATATGACTCTTTAAAAACTACAATATTTGTTTTTTTTATAAGAGAAAGAAAGAGGTGTTATATATATTACATGATCTAGAAATCAGCGACAAAAAAATGCTTCTCTTTACATTGATAAATACACTTTAGACACTTGTTAACAATATTATCCCACTTTCACATGATGGTTTAAATAAGCTTACACACACACATACAAGGAAAAATCAGAGGAAAAGAAAATGTACAATAATAAATTTCTAGAAATTAGCAAATATCAATGTTTAATTTGATTGTTGAATGTATTTAACCAAATGTATTTTCACCTCCATAAGCAATATAGAGGAAGCTATCTTCATCCTTATGTTCAGCATAAATTTGGCCCATTGTAGAACTAAACAATAGAGAAAAAAAAATGTGAAATTCAAAAGAACTAAACATTAAAAATCTATCTACCTCGACTGGGGTATTGTTTTATTAACAAATAAAAAGATTGCCTTTTCGGGTGCTAATTGAATTCGTTTACGAATAATCCACATAAACTGTGCTATAGTTATATCATTTGGTACCAAAAATTTACGTTTATCAATATCAGGTATTTGTGATTTTGGTACACGTTCAACAACAACCTAAGAAAACAACCAAGAATAATAAAACTATAACAAAAAAATATGTACTTACAGGAATACGTTCAGGATATTTAACCCGAATTTTTTCAGCTTCCTGTTTACGTTGATCTAATAAATATAAATAAGAATGTACTAATTCAAAAGGAAATTATATTTATAACTACCAGCTGGAGTTTCTTCTTTGAATCGAAATTTCATTTTTTAAAATTGATTATCAAATAATTTATTAATAAACACTTTGAAAGCTAGAAACAAGTAATCTAAAAAAAAAGGGTCATGTGATGAATCAGAATGATCAAATGACTTAGCAAAAGAAAACAATATTTTCTTTTTCTATTCTATTAGCTTGTCTGCTGACTGTTGAGTTGTGAAATATTTTTTCTTGCTACCTACCACCTATATACGTACTTGCTTACTGACGAAAGAACGAACAATGAATACGTCGTCGGATTAGAACGCAAGGAGGGGAGGGTGATATATGGAAGAAAGGACATGCGCATGCATATAGAATAAAGTCACATCACATGACTGACGACCGACTATTAATATGGACAGACGTTCGTCAAAAACAAAGAGTGAATGAACGAATCAGAATTACAGCTGATAATAATGACCTCTTGAAGAAATATCATGAGTCATTCCTAACGAGTCAAGATGACTAGATTCATACTGAAAATGTAAAGATAAACATATATTGCGCAGATTTATATGCCATGAATATAGAATAAGAATTCGTGATGGGCCTCTCGTAAGACACATAAAGTAGATGTCACTCTATTCCGACAAAGAGTTTTTTATTTGGTCTATATACTTAATTCTTTCGTGATTTTCTTGATTAAACGATAATAGATGAAGTTGGCTATTGTTAATAATTATTAATATATATTTCTAGTTACAAGAAAATCTTCGTATGGTTTATGCAATCTAGATACTATCTTTGGGCGAAATGTAGACTCCAATAAGCTCTAAAAATATAACAGAAACTTGTGGCACCACACATAACTTTTTTCCTATAACTCTGTAAATCTTCAAGAAAATTGTCTCATTGAATATTGATCTAAAGCTACATTCATCGGATCTTTTACACACAAAAAAGACTTAATAATACGAATCCTTAAGATCTTTAACTGTTTAAACAGTTGAAGTGATTTTCTTGCTAGTGAGAAAATATATTAAATTTCAACATAATAATATTGAAGCACAAGAAAATAAGTATGGATGTCTGATTTGTAATGATAAATAAACTTTTTATGGTGAAATGGTCAATGATTTTTTCAATCAATTAGTGTATTTGTTTTTCATACTGCTTCATGTCTCTGAAAAATATATGACGATCAGTTATATTCAAAATGCACGAATATAACGAATGACACAATTTATACATCGGGTTTTCTCAACAAATATCAAAACTTCCAATGTTATATCATATATTCTAATGAAAGTCAGAAATTATCATTGCAACTAATTATTCTGGATGAAGTGCAAGCTAACAAAATTCGCTTACGGCCATACCACGTTGAATACACCAGTTCTCGTCCGATCACTGAAGTTAAGCAACGTCGGGCTCGGTTAGTACTTGGATGGGTGACCGCCTGGGAATACCGAGTGTCGTAAGCTTTTTGCTTTTTATTTCATACAACGATCATGGTGATAGTATGATACTTCAAACAAGTCATCAAAAGACAAATAATAGTGTTTTCTGATAACAATGTAGTTTTTAATCTCTATTGCATTTTTGTATTATTGATCGATTTTTTATTCTAGTACTTTGAAAAAAAATCTTTTTGCTATATGAGTTTAGAAAATAGTCACACTTTTGCCTGCAAGAAACTGACCTATGGTATGATAATTATCTTAATCATATAAACAATATTGATTTCTTATATATATCTTTAATCGAATTGTTTTTGAAAGAATTCAATCGTTTGTAGTTTAATTTTCGTAGTTATATGTAATGAGATATAATTATTTAATGAGTAACAGAATATTTTGAATATTAAAATATATGTATAAGAAAATATTAAAAGACTAATTGATGTCTATGAGAATTTGTGGTAGACTTTCAAGGTCGATACATAACATCTGTACGAACTGTATACTTTCGACCTTTTTTTAATGCTGAACCTTCATGAAGTAAATGATGTTCGAATATAAGTACCATTCCTGTACGTGGTATACATGGTACATTTTTATTTGAATCTCGATGACTAACAAATGTTGTTTCTCCACCTTTGAAGCCTTCATTCAAATAAAGTTGTATTGTCTAGAAAATCAAAATAAAATCGATGAAAAACTAAATTTCCGAGACTAGGAGTGACACTTTATCTTTATTTTACTTTGAAAAAGTAAAGTAAAATAGAAAAATAGTCGAGATATCACGTTCTATTAATTTCTGTTGATTTTACGTTTTTGGTAAAACATCTGAACTTTACTTTACCGAATAAAGTAAAGATAAAGTGCCATTCCTATGCGAGACTTACAATATAACTTATTTCAGATCCATCATCACGACAATATGTACCATCTATAACAAGAAAAATTACTTAAAAACAAAATAATAATAATAAAATTTTTCTTACCATAATGTGCTTTAAATGCTTGTCCTGGATCATAACGAAGAAAACGAAGACGTTCATTGAGTCCAACTAATTGATGAGTTTTCCATTTATTTGGTAAATATGATTTAATTCGTTCGAATAACATTTGTGCCATATTAACATCATCAATCATACATCGATCATTATTACGAAAATTTGTATCTAAAGCTTGATGCGTACCATAATTTACTAAAGCTGGAGTATAGCCACGTTTTTCTGATAGTTCAATCCATTGTAAACATTCCTCAGGTGTAAATACATTGTATAATACAAAAGCTAATTTTCCATGATCTTCAGGATTTGGTAATAGTACATCATGCTTTTCGATATTTAACGAACTCATTATCATCAATATATATGTGAAATAACTACGCTATTTATTGTTCTGTTTTGTTCAATGACTCATGGTTGTGTAATAACACAAATATTTAATGTAGAACGGGAGAGATTAGTTTTTTATTTAACTACCTTTAACAAAATACAAAAAAAAAACTTTTACAAACGCTTTTTATACAATGGATCTGTTATTTTCTTATTCCAAACAGTCAATGGTTTTGTATAATCAACAAGATCCGTTACAAAATATCCATATTTGTCACAGTGACAAGCATGTTTCTCATTAACTTCATCATCATTTGACATAACTCGTCGTAATATATCACTTTCACGTTTAAGTGCACCCATTATTTCATAAAGTTTTGTTGTACCCGAAATGAAGTTGATAAAAACATAACTAATCAAAATGAAGAAATTGAAAGAATACTTTATTTTATTATACATACTGTCCTTCACGATAAACTTGCATATCATTACCAAAAAGACGAATAGGAAGACGACGTAAACCAATATTTTCAAATGATTTTATAATACCATTGTTATCTAAGATACATGTTGCTGCGGCTTTTATTCCTGACATAAGCTCGGGCTAAAATATTATTAAATATTAAACAAAACAAAGGTAAATAAATAGATATTTACTTTGGGTAAATTCTTGAAAATACATAATAATTGATAATTAGGCATAATGGAATAAGATTAAACGAAACTATCGTTAAAGAAAAAGATCTTGAAAAATATATGGAGTAACCAGTAAAATAAGGACTAGATATTTATTGGTTAAAATACTATTGTAAAAGTTTCTGTTTATTAGTGACCTCTGTATAATATATTCTGTTATTTGATTTTGACATAACTAGCTAAAACTATAACTTATATATCATTTCCTATTTCGATCTAATTCTATGTCTATCTATTAACTAGATCATGTCATAGTAAGTACTTGTTATATTATTTTCCTATTTCTCAAGTGAATATATCCGTTTTGTAAGCATCTATGATAGTTAAAGGTAATGAATATGCATGAATGTTTATAAAGTTTACGATGCTTAGTTTATGTTTATTCTTAGAATTAGATGTCGAAATTATCAATATCAGTCAGTCATTTAATGAACGTCAAACCGTGAAATGATGGGTATGATTTTTGTAAATGTATTGAAAAAAGTCATACTATTAATTAAGATTCATTAATACTCAACTAGGTAATATGAGTACGTACATGTTAGGAATTTGAATTAATATTAGAAAAACATACACTAGGGCAGAATGCTCTAATTTCAATATGACATTCTTCTCTCGTAAGGACATTTTTATGCTGTTATTATAAGTTTCTAACATGGGTACTCTGATTACTCAGACGAATACTCATGAATCTTAATGAGTATTATGATGTATGCGTCAAACAGCTGTATTCTTTCAACCTTTGTTTAAATGACTGATTAATATTAGGAATCTCGACATTTAACTTGAAGTGTGTATATGAAAAAAGGATATTGAAACTTTATAAGTACTCATGACAAATACTAATACAAGTGTTCTGTGGACTAGAAGGCATTGATTTAAAAGAGACCTAAGTATATTTAAAAATGTAATAGTATATTCTTGTAAAGTTTTATTCAACATATTTTTCCACCCATTGTCTATGTTTATCAACTACAATATTAAGACTAAAAGAGAATTAGAAGCGATCTGTATTAGTCAAATCTGCAATGCTTCTATCAAAGTAAAATGGTAAAAAAATCAAGAACATTTGAAAAGATTTGGAAATACTAGAATAACTCGATATCTTTTATTGATGTCATATGAGACGGAATTTGAATTAAAATAATTTATAATATCAGATTAAAATGTGTAGAATTTCGATATCAGTGTTACAGGATACTAATAATTAAGAGAACATTTGTTTCTTCTTTTTTTGAAACAAATGAATTAATCATTAATAAATAGTATTGGTTAACTATCATGTTTCAGATAATGCAAGAAACCTATGTTTTATAACGTACAGACAACAAATATTATAGAAAAGTATCATATCGAATATGAACTTAACATAAGGGCAAAGACAGACCATAATAATAGCTATTTATTCTTCGATGATAACTCTTATACGAAATATAATATTCATGGTGATATATTAGATTGTGTTGATACTTGTTAATCCAAGTTTAATATAGATGAACGAAGATTTTATTGCTATTATAAAAGAAAACATAATTAAAAATCTAAAATTTCTTTAATCTTTCTGCATCAATGTATACACTTATTTTGTGATTGTTAAATATCAAGTCATTTTTAAGAGATCTCTTTTGTATCTCACAAAATAACAATAAATTCAATAATTCTAAATGTTATGTATCTGAACGAAATCAAGAGAAACATTAAATAAAAATCTTTCGTACTATATAACCTCGAAAGAATTCAAAGACGAAATTAACTATATTATATATTACGTTCTAATTTAATATAAAATTCTGTAATAAAAATATTAAATGTACTTTTTTTTTAACTTCAAGCCAAATAATCACTTATTTAATGAATCTATTTGAAGACAAAAAAAATTCATAAAAGGTATGCTTTTTCTTTCTGATTGTTTTATCCGGTAAACATGATAATGGTTCTTCCTCTCTTTTTATTTTAATTGTTTATTCAAACGGTTGTTAATAGCCTAAGAGAAAAAAACATTAAAAATTAACTTCTAATATTGTATGACTTTCTAGCAGATAATATAACGGAAGATTTGATAAGCTTGATCATTGAGTTAGATATTACCGATGAACTGTCTAGTTTTATTGAATTTAATGAAAAAATACTTCTAATTTTTAATAATAAACTGATATCTTTCTCAAATATGAAAAGAACAATATGTTGCATTTAATTTTTAACATGTTTATTAATTTCAAACGTCATTCTAGACATGTTTTTCTTTCATTATATCAGTATTAACGTTGCTTTGACTTAAGCTATTCAATATAAAACTCTATAAATAATTTTTTTTAGATAAATCCTGTGATAAAAGAAAAAATAATTGAAATAGAAAATATAAAACGTTAGACAAATATATAAAGAGAATCATTCAAGAGTAAGAATGTATATGAAAGAAAGAGTTCATGCAAATTATTAATAATAATAATTGGTCATAAAAGAAATTAAAATTTATAAATGAATGCATAAAGTGAGAACTAATACGTCTCATTTCTTTTTTATATGCCGCACTTAGAGAGAGAAAATTTTTAATTTTCTTTTTCTTTCTAATAGTATTAGAATTTCTATCATATAATATTTTATCTTTAGATTTATTCATGAAAATATACTAAAACTATAAAATTTTCACAGGAATATATTAGAAAAAAAGCAAATTTCATTTGAAATTAGTATCCTATCGATCTTTTTTAATATTAACTATAAAAAAGTTTTTATTCAACACTATGATGAATTATTGCAAATCTCTAATGATTCAAGCTAGCACATTTATTAACACTATTCTAATGATTTATGTCCTTGTACTATTAAGATTATTTGCATGTCTAGCTTTTCAATATAACATATGTTAATATTGCTCATGCAATTATTGATAATAATGATCATCATGAAAAAAAAAGAACTAAGAATGTTTGTAACATTATATGTTTGACTGTGAAATATGTCGAAATGACAACAAGCAATTCTTATTTTCTTTTTTTTTGTATCAAGGTCAAATATGTGAACAAAAAGAATTGTAAGATATGAATATATATAGATATATAGATATACATACACATTACAATAAAATAAAATAACAGTTTTATTCATGAATTTTATTATTTATTTCAGATATATTTGTTGTTGATGTATGATTTGATGATGGTGATGAATATTGTTGTAGTTGATCATCATCATTAAGATGTAAATGATGTGATGATAATGTTTGTTGTTTCATTGGTTTTAAATTCCATTTTAATTTTTTTTGTTTTGGTTTTATTGTTAATTGTTTTAAATCAATTGATACATTTGTTTTCGTTGTATTCGAATTTAAATGTCCATTTAAAAATTCATTATTTAATGTTTTAGTATCATTTTGTAAAAGTTGTTGATTTAAATGTTTTGAAAATGTTTGATAATTATGATTATTATTTTCATTATCAGGATTATCTTGATTAATAAGGCCATTAACTTGTTGTTGTTCACGTTGTTCATCAGCTAATGTAAAAAAACGACGTAAACCATTAAATGCTGGATTACGTTCAATAAATCTTTGATTAAGAAAAAAATTACAATGTGCTATTGTAAATGCTTCTTTAAGAAAAACAGTTGATGTTAAAGAATAAAGAAAAAAATTTAATGTATAATTTAAATTTCTTATTGTTAAAGCTAAATAACGTAAACCAATATTAATTATATTAACTTTTAAATTTATATCTGCACGACTAATTGCAGTTGAAAATAACCAATACCAACATATCTGATATGGCATTGTAAATGTTATAAATGAAAATGAAACACCTATTAACATAACACTTATATGTATACGTCGTGGACCACTTGCACGTATACGATTTCGTAATTTATGTACTGTAATTATACTTAATGTTAAGATAAATATTGATGGTAAAACATAAATAAAAAAGATTTGTATTGAACCAATTATTTGATATGTTCGAGAAAAAAATAAAAGACATCCATTAACTTTCGATGCAACTATAGCAAGACCAAGTGGTGCTATAAGTGCAACTAAAGCTACACTAAATACAATAATCCATGCTTGTCGACGATTAAAACTTGTTCGAATTAGAAATGGTTTTGTTACGGATAAATAACGTTCAACAGCAATCATTAATATTAACCAAGAATTAATTGATGAACCAACTAAATCAATATAAACATGAAATGCACATAAAAAACGTGAACCAGTTACAACAAAACCAATAAAAACTTTATGATTAAGCCATTGCATAGTTACTGGACCAGCTAGAATAAGAATATTTGTTAATGATAACATAGCCATAAATACAGATACTGGATAACGACGCATACGTTTACGAAGAAATATTATCATTGATAATGCATGTGTTGGAATACCTTGAATTTAAAAGCAAAAACAAATTTATCAATTAATTTTTAAATTTAATAGAAAGAAAATCAAAAAATATACCAATAAGAACTAATACTGGATTAGCATATAGAAAAACTTCATCTGTTATATAATAAAATCTTGTATAAGCTTTATAATTTTCCCAATCATCACTGAGACTTCCATTCATATCATCTTGTGCAAAATCAACTGTTGTATTCATTATATTAATCTAAAACTTAAATAATTTATATATAGTAACAAATTTAGTGTAGATTAAAAATTGATATAATCTAACATAATATTATATTGTGTATGACATTATTTCTTTTTTTTGAAAGAAAGTCAAATAATAGAATATTTAAATATACTATTTTTGAATACGTTCTTCATGACATATTGATTATTAATAAAATGAAGATAGTACGTACGTGATAGATATATAGACTGCAAACATTTCATGTTTTTATTTACTATGTAATTTGAGCATAAAAAAGAAGCTTATTGTTACAAGCCAATTTAATGTTTGAATGAATAAATGCAACATACTAAATGTATAAGAGCTATATATATGATGATAAAGGATCTACTTAAGTTTCTTTAGAAAAAAAAAGCTGTTATCAAGAAGAAAATAGCAACTACTTAAGTGCTTGCCATCCTATACGCCTTCTCTCTTTATTTATCTATTCATATAACTAAATATATTCTTATAGATCGAACAAGAAAAATCTCATTTTCTATCATGAAATATTGTCTTGTTCAATTTTAAAAAATATGATATTTTCAATTAACTTATTCTATATTTAATTATGATAAACTAACATATTAATTGCAGGATTATTGATATTATATGTAAAATGAATAGAAAAAAGCTCAAAGAAAATTACCTTTTTCTAACATTAGATTTAATACGACGTAAAAAAAAATATCATCATCATCATCAACATTAGTTTTTTGTTGGTGTCGACATAGAAGAAAAAGAGCGAACAAAAAACAAAGAAAGAGGAGAGAGAAAAAAAAGGAACTATAAAGTCAGCAGTTGACACGATTCTTTTTTCAGCTTTTGGCTATCTTTATTTTCTATGTGTGTCTATATATATACACATGAACAATGATGATGTTCTATGTTTGGTTTTGATTTCATCTATGCTATGAACATATCGTTTATCTTCTTCTTCTTTTTGCTGATTTCTAAATTATACCAACAGACAAGAAAAAAAAGGATCGCATGTCAACTGTGTCAGATTTAATATCCTGACTCTATTACAATGAATCATGTAAATAATCATAAATGTTCATATAATTAAACTGGTAAAAGAAAAAAAATACTAAGTCAATATAAACATCTCACACATATATATAGTAACTATGACAAAAACAGATTTTTTTTCTATGATAGAAATAATGAATTGAAGCCGCCTTTAGCTTATTTTCACGTTTGATCTATTTGTAGATAAATAAAAAAAAAATCTAGAGCTATTATTTTCAAGAAACAAAAAATATATACCATCTATTTGATAATATCTCTTTTCTTCTTTACCCTTGATCTATTTTAAATATTATCTCTATCATTAAATCTCTTATTACACAAATTGTTTATTAGAATATAAGCAAGATATATTTCTATTTATAACTAGTGTACGCCGTCAACTCTTATAGCTCTTTTATCTCTATAAACCGACCATATTGTTCAAACCAAAAGCTATACTTCGATTGAATTCAAAAGAGTAGTAAATAGAAAATAAGTGAAACGAAGCAGTTAAATCCGCTGATTCTGAAATAAAACCTTTCATAAAATTCCGTTCGTTCTGTTTTTTAATGTCGATATTTCTCTATATATATACATGTCTTTAGATGCATTCAGGTATTCTCGAGTATAAAAAAAGTAGTTTAAGAGAATGCTAAAAACAAAACAGATGAATTTATTTATAAGTTGATATCAATAACATGTAAATACTCATATACAAATAGTTACTAATTTTAACTTAGAAAATACACTTGACATATTGTAAAGTTTTATAGATCTAAACTGGTTGTAAAATGTCATAGAGAGGAAATGAATTAACATTTTAAGTTTTTTTTTAATTGAAAGTCTCAAGTATGATAAACTATATTAATAATATTTAAATAGTTACTTATCTTATTTCGTCATAGATTTAGACAAGAAAAAAATATCATGTTCTATCCTATTTATCTCTACTTTCATATATTTTTTACGTCTTTTATACTCAATGTTTATTCTATCACTATGATTTTCTCTGGCAATGTACTTCCTGCATGCCGTAAACTCTTGAAAAATTAAGTGTTTATCTAATTGTTTACGTAAATTTTCCACTTAGCATTAAATGTTTCAACGAAAATCCTTCTTCTTTAATATACAATATGTCTTCATATAACATACTCTCAACAACTCTGAGTATGTTTTTAGTAGACAAATGCGTGTTCATTTTAATCAAAGTAATACTGTCACTTGTCATTATTTTCTATTTGTAAATAAATTGTTTTCATATTCATCACGTAGTCATCAAATATAATTTCAATTTATGATATACTTACAATAGGCAATAACGTGTCGAATGAAGAAAAAAAACAAATGTAAACTTGTTTTATCGCATCATAATAAAGATTTTTCTTTTATTTCAAAATTTTGTTTTTCCTATTCTTTTCTACAATCATATTACTATTCTTTATATCTTTGTCTTCTCTCTCTTCTCTACTCTTTCATTTTATGAACATAGAATGTAATCGACGTGCAATAATAATAGGAGGATGATGATGATGACTGAAAGAAAAAAACTCAAAGCAAAAACTAGATGTAGAACAAGATATGACAGAATACTTCTTTAGTAAAAAGCAATACTCTGAAGACGTATTCTTGAGTATAAAGATGAACTGCATGTAGTCGAAAGAATAAGAAATAAAAAAAATCTATTTTTTTCTTATGTAGTCATGCACACATGTATTCATAACATCAAAAAAACATCGTTTTAGTTTTGCTGTACTTTCCTTTTAATCATAGATATCATTGCTTCATTAAACAATAACAGCAAATCATAACTTGTACTGTCAAATAATGTCAATAATATTTTTTTTTATAACTTTAATAAAACTACTGGATACATACAGATGTAAAATACCAATGATATTAATGACTTTCTTGTCCGTGGCATTGTCATTTGAGATTTGTTTTTCGTTCTATTCTCAATAGTATTTTATTTTTTTTCAGAAAAAAACAAAAAGCAAGAACTATTGACATGAATGATTTAGATGATCTTATGCAATCAATTTTTTTTCTAATATAAATACGGAGAAATTAAAAATTAATGACACATCAATTGACTATGTCCATATGACTTTATAATTATTAATAAATATTTTTAGTAAATAAACTCATTAGATAGTTCCTATTATTTGTTATTAAATAAATTTTATAAGGCTGATATATGTATATATATAGGACATAAAGAATAGCTTATAAGCTTTCGTTAATAAGTTTTTCATATCGAACAATGATGATTATTTTTTTTAATCGTTTTTAATAAACAGAAGTCATACGGTACAGAATATTGAGGTAGAAAGAATGAGTTCTTATCAATTACTAATCTATTTTTACATTCTTTAAAATATTCAACAATAACAGCATGATCCATTAAACTTACTCTTCATTGTAAGATTTTGAACTCATGAAACTTAAGTTGAGAAAAAAAGATGAACAATTCTACTATCGTCTGTTTACAAATTTCCGACAACAAGAGAAAACTAATGAAAAAAACATGTGTGTTTTATCCAATAAATATGACTAGTCAATAGTTTGTTCAAAAAACATTGATTGAAATATAGCAGAACATGATATTTGTTATTAATTTTACTTTTGTCTACAAAGTAATTAAATATTGATCATATATATAAATATAAAAGATTATTTTGTTATAACTTAAAATTTTTTTTTTACTTTATAAACAAAAACTAACAAAAAAAAAACACTAGTATATTTATAAATACTATCGAACTTTTGGTCCGTATCTAGCAAATTCAATATCATAAAAATCCGTAAATCGATGACAATTCATAATATTATTTCTAATTAAATATTCCCATCGCAATGGATTAACATTTTTTTCTTGTAATTGTTTTCTTTCTGCATCCCATTTATCTAATAATTCTTGAGATACAGGTATGGCTGGAAATGGTAATGCTTCTGCAATTGATAATAATGTACGATAAAGATAATCAAATGAAAGTGTACCACCAATTTCAATTATCATCCGATTAGTTTTTACTGGTGTCACAAAAAATTCTATACTACCTTTACCTGCACCTCGTTTCTTATTTAAACCTTTAAAATACCATGGATGCCATGGGGGATCAACACGCCATATAGAAAAACATCGTTCCATATCAATTCGTTTATTAACCATATCACGAATTGTATTAAAATGTCCTTCTTTCATTAAACCTGGAGCAAGTGCCTAGATATAATTTCAATATAAAATATATCAAAGAGAAAAAAGCGAATTAATTATTCTATCATACCATAATACCAAATTGTTTATGTATAAGTTTATCATGAACTATTTCTACACCACGACATTCAAGTAATCGTCGAGACATATTTGGATAAAGTAGATGGTTTGGTGGTGTATCAGGTACATATTTTACTTCGGGTAATTCATTTTGTAACGGTAATCCAACAGCTATAATATTATATAAATAGACAATTATTATCTATTTTTAATAATAAAATTATTTATAAACATACGGAGAACTCTAGGAAATGGTGGTTTATCTTGTGTGCCATTCGCTATTATTCGATTAAATAGAATTGGTCGTAAAAGACGTGAACCTTTAAGAATTAAGATTTTTTTGTTAAAGAAATTACAAAAATATTCAACAAACCATTCTTTATAAATGGTCGACACGCCATATCAATCTGAAAGATATCAAAATATTTCATTGTATTTATTGATACAATAGATTTAGAAGACTTTTTATTAAGATAACTCATGTGTATCGACATAATCAAGTATTAAACTTCATAATTGATCTTAACTCGTAAATAATATTCATGCAAAGAAATAAATACCTTTATATTCTCGGACACTATCTGAAATAACTCGTATATATTCGTCTCGATATTTATTTAAATTGATACTATATTCTTTAGTGTAACTAAATTTATGAATCATCTAAAGAAATAAAAATGATGTTTAACCTCTTATGTTTATTTCGGATAGTTCTTTTTTTTTTATTTTTCTTTCTTCTTCACGCTGTTCAACTAACGTGATCAAAAAAAAACAAGAGTAGCAATGACAAAAAAAATAATCTTTTTTTTAAGCTACAAATTGATATGGAATTGGTTCGACGATTTGTGGTTTATTGCCTCCTGTTCGAACCAAATGTTGTTTTCGTGGACCTAGTGGCTATACAAAAAAAATAAAGATAAAATAATTATATAATATGAATATGTATATAAACATTACTTGTCGTTTAATGCTAGAAAGTGGTACATGTTTGCCTGATTCTTTAGCTGCTCGTTTCAATTGTTCATTAAGTTTGACACGAGTAAGAAAATCAGTACGACATTTTGAATGTTTAACTATAAAGATAAAAGATTTAATTTAATGGTTTTTTTTGTCATAACAAAACAAAAATGACTTACTGTGTTCAATACGAACATTGATTCGTTTAGCAATAATACGGTGTCTAAAAATTTTAGATGAAATTTATTAAATAATAATAAATCAATAAGACATACCGAACACGTTTGTTAACGATAATACCAACGGCATGTCGAGTTACGTTAAAAACACGACCAGTTTTACCATGATAAAATCTGTGTGGCATACCTTTTTGGACAGCACCATTACCCTAATGAAAAATAAAATATGTAATATTTTTCTTCGTCTTTAATAATTAGACAAACTTTAATGTCAACGATATCACCACGCTTGTAGATTTTCATATAGGTAGCCAAAGGGATACGGCCATTCTTCTTGAAATCTCGTGAAAATAAATGACGCGTACCGCGACGATAACCTTTTGGATTTACCATTGTATGAGCGGTACTGACGAGAGAACTAAATTAATCTTAAATAAAATAAGAGATATTAACAAATTAGATCGAAAATCAACAGAAAAAAAGATTCAAATAGTCCATGAATAAGCAAGAAGTATATGTAATTCATGGATCGCAAGAACCTCTACTATACACATACAAACTTTTGTCTTTCAGAGGAACGAAAAAAAATCATATGTCAATAACTAACGCCATCTAAGATTTGATCGAAGATTATAGTTCTAGTGAAGAAGAATATATGCTATAGCAGCAGGTACGAAATACAAGTAAAATATACAGAACTTTTATCGATCAATTCGATGACGTATGTTATTATATGTAATTTCGTATTTGTTTATGAAATATTAATTTTATTTTTGAACGAAAAAGAGATCTCAGAAAAAAGTACACTAGATTCTCATTACACATGTTCGTATAAGGAATCATTATACTGTAATTTAATTTGTATCTAAATTTCTTGTGCAAACATATAATTAAATGCTGTCTATTTATTTTACATTGACGATATATTTAAAAAAATGATGATTGATAATTCGTAGGTTCATTTCGAATATGCTCTTTTTCTCATACTATTATTTGCAACATCATATGTTTCTAATTCCGTTTCTGAATCTATAAACAATGATATAACCTTCACATTTAATCAGTGTAACTATTTGAATGGTATGCATTTATCTTTTGTTGTAGACATGTCAATTTATTTAAATAATAATAACGAAACAAATAGATCTAATTTAATTATAATCCAGCAGGATGTGAACCAGTAGGTATTTCTTGTTTTGTATATCTAATTACAAAAAGAATAATTCTAACACAAAACAAAATGAAACAAAGAATAGTGATTATTAACACCAATAATTGATTAAAGCTTTTTTCTCGAAGTAATTTCCAATTTTTACCCAGAATTCCAGCTAATGCAATAAACCAAACTAACCATGGTGACCATGTATAAGCCATTTGTGAAGGAAATACGAAATTTTCCAAAATCCAATAAATAATAATACCAATAGTTAATACAATTAAAGATAATGTAGTTGCTAAACCTTCATTACTCAATGATAATTTTGTTTTTAAAGAAATAGCAAGATTAAGTGATGCCGCAACAAGTAACCAAGCTGAATAAAGTGCATGACCATTCAATACAATGAATCGCATTATCCAAATATCACCCGATCTATAATGAATAAACATTTAAGAGAAGAAAAAAAAAATAAGAATTATTGTACATATTTAATCGAATGAAATCCCATCTAGTATGCCAAAGAAGAACATGATCAAATACAGTAGCACCAACAATTGTTGCTAACATCATATAAATAACAATTGTTGAAAACTAAATACAAGATATATTTAATTTAGATTAGAAATAATATTTTACGTACAGTAAATTTAAGTCTATCCCAAAGAATTAACCAAAAAGAATTCAGAAGCATGTTTGCGATAAAAAGAATAAAAATAGCGATATGTAAAGTATACGGATGAATATATAGATAACCATCATCTGTTTTTCGCCATATATTGACAATTGCATATATAAGAAAAGCTAACTAAATAAAATCACGATATTTTCTTCTTTTTTAATTATTTTATTCTACCTGCCAAGTATATATTAGACCCCATAAAGAAAATGTTGGTCCAGCTGGAGTAAATTCCGTTGGATTTTCATCACTAACCCGTGCGGTAGATTTTCTGAATAATTCTATGATAAAAAAAATGAACATACTTTTTATTCTAGATGAAATTTGAATCAATATTTACTATTAGGTCCACTTGAAGCAAGACCATTAATAATACAAGTAAAAATGAAAGAAAGTAATGCAATAAAGATCGTAGCAATTACACCACCATCATGTTCATACTGTGTTTCTGTTCCATTGTTTAATAAAGCTTTGCCTAAAATAACAATACATGATATATGACTTACGATATTTTTCTTTTAACTAGATACCTTACCGAAAAGAGCATCCATCTTCAGTAATCGTTGATATATAATAAAAAATTATTTGCGTCTTTTGAAAGTATATTTATACCTGCATGTTATGTCATAAATATTGCAGCCTTGCAGGGTGAAGAAGTTCTTTCTTTCTTTCGTTCGTTTGCTTTTATAAAAGAGACGTCATAAATAGAAAAAGCGTATATATAGTAAAAATATTTGCATATACCTTTTTACGTTCTTATGCAATAGAAATTGACACACGTGATGGTGGAGCGTGATTTTTATTATTATTTTACATCATAACTGATAATTTTGTTTTGCAAATAATCAATGAAGTTTTTCAATCGTTCAGAAACATAAAGAATCAGTGTAGATGTCTATATTGTTCGCACAACATTATAACACTATAAATCTTTCATTTAGCAGTTCGTACTTTTTCGGATCCTCATCGAAAAATTTTGCAACGTGGTGTAATTGATGCTTTTATTATGGCTGTTCCGAAGTAAAGAATTTCATTTATTAAAAGAATTATTTAAAAGATATTACATATTTAGATCATTAGGATCATTGAATTACATACGTATTTAGCATGATAACAGCGATCAACATGATCTTATTCTGTATATCAACAATGGTTTACTGTAAAAAAAGATGATGGACATACAAATATTTTTTCCATAATGTATTAAATAATTATTCTAAAAATAAAATGTAGATTGAACGAATTTTACCAATAGGCAGTGAAATACAAAAACATTCCTTGGCGGTGTTTATTTTTTGCTCATAGTTTATCTTTTTTTATAATCGTTCGTGGTATTCAATTTGGCGACTTGAAAACACAAAAATAGTTAACATCACTTAGAAGTGGTTTTATTTCATCAATACATTTACGAGAATCTCCATTTACTTATCGTACAAAAATTTGTAACGATCGTTTTAAATGAAATACGTATGTGAACAATTGATCGAGAAAGTGTAGTCTATTTCAATTTTCTAATATTGATATATATTATTACTTATATAAATATGAATTGAAATACTTTTTTTCTTAAATACAAACCAAATTGATAATAATTATATGAAAGTAAGAGTCATTTATCATTCATTTTCATATAATATGATACTCGATGATTAGATTTCTACGAATGATCAATATTGCAATTGGTTAGAAAATAGTTTCCTTTCAAATATTCGTACTCAACAATGGTATAATGGTAAAGCACCTAAATAGTTTAACTGATTTTATTAATGATAAATCAAACGGATCAATTGGTAGAGCAATAATGAGACAATTACGTATAAAAATAAGTTTATGTTGAACATAATTAGTATTGAAATGTAATGAAGACTATAAATTTATATATATATATTTATTATAAAATTCTATTAATGTATTTTTTATAACCGATGAAAATTTTTAATATAAATTTTTTGTAATGCATTTAAACGATGTTAAAAGCAAAATACAAACGAAATAATGGATTTTTTTCCAAAAAACCTTCATCTATATTAAAGAAACGTGTTTTAGATGTAAAATTGAATATTTATCTATCAATAATGATAAACACATTTGTAGAATATCATTAAATTGATCATATAATAGTAATAAGCGGTTTTTAATAATAAAAGTTTTTGTTAATAATATTCTAATTAATGATTTATCATTAAGATTTATTGAACGATATAATAAAGAAAATAATGACTAGAAAAAGATAGATATCTTTTTCTCGACTACATAAATCAATAATAAGAATGTAAACATCAACCAATTTTTTTCTTATACTGACAATGTACATAAATTGAGTGCAATGCTAATGTTGATGCAAGTCGTTTCAAACTATTTTGATGCAATGAAAAACTTAATATACGTTTAACAATTCATTGGAGAATTTTTTTTTAAATATACACCATTACAAGTCACGTATTGATACATTCTACTCAGATATTATTCCATTCAATAAAACCAAATTATTCAAACAAATCTCAAACTATGAATGTATCAAGTATTTGACATTGTTTTTGTATTTTATAAAATTCAAAAATAAATCCTCTTACTGTACCTGAATGACATGATGATACAAGTACAACAGGAAATAAATGTTTATAGAATTTGGTGTGAGTTTGATTAAAGAGAAGACACTCGTTTACATTCACATTCCGAAAATTGTTCGTGTACTGAGTAGATCGATGAGTATCGATAGCTTTTGTGTCTTTTTTTTCTTTCTATGAAATTATGAGGCTTCTTTCTTTCTTCGGTTTCGTTTGAATACGTATAACCTAGAATATTAAATTTAAACGTCAAGCCATGCTTGGTTGCTTCTAATAGTAGCTCACAACGATGAACGTCCTTCGAAAATAAAGGCATGTGCGATTGAGAGTGATAGAAGAGGACTATAAGAGAATGATGATGCAGTATATTGAGTGAAAGAAAAAATGATCGTTTTTGCTACCGTTTATTTAAAAGATGTAGTTGGAAAATGCAGGATAAATTCTCAAAAAGAAACGTTGACTTTTGATAATTATTGAGAAGACAGTTTGAATTAGTCAATTCCATGAGGATGATCTGCTCTTTTCAGCAGAGAACTTATTTTAAATTTAAACGAAGATTTTACTTGATGGTGTCTATCAGTTATTCAACTTAGATAATGGTTGATAAGAGCACACAATTGAATATCAAGTCAAAGAAAAACATTGTATACTTAAGAGATAGACTTTTGCTTGAAATATGGAAGTATTTATTATTCTTTCATGTTGAAACGAAGATCAATGTAGGATAGTCAGCTGCCTGATGAGGTGCTCTAAAGCAAAGTCAAAGTCTATCATGATATTCTTCGATAAACTTTTATTTTTATTGGAATATAAAATTATAAAAAAATATGCGAGAATAAATGATAAGAAAGCAAAAAATAAGAGACTCTAAAAAGAGAAGACTACCTACTGAGTATTGCTCTTTTGTGTTGGTGATCATTGATGGTAATGTTCGGTTTTTTTATGTGCATTTCAGATTGTGCCATCATATGTCTTGCAAAGCAAAAACAGTAAATTTATTCAGTACCAAAATAATTCGAAATAATAATTTCAAAGCAGAATGTATGATTGATGAAATAACATATGAACATCAGTCCTCAAACAGCACATACCTGGCTTAATGAATTTTATCAGGATCAACACAACCATTATTCTAACGTTTGTTGATGAAATGGTGAGGCAGATCTTTTGTACCATATGAAGTGCTACCATTAAAATGATGGTGCAACAAGCCATTTTAATCATGTTGTTCATTGTAATTTGTTTCCATTCGACGGTGGAAGAGATTGTTAGATGAATAGACATGTGTGTTGATAATAAGGCTTTGCTTCGACTTTATTTAGAAAGCTCACCAAGCAAGAAGCAATCTACGAAAAATCAAAATAATGATGCAACAAGCCATTTTAATCATGTTGTCCATTGTAATTTATTTCCATTCGACGGTGTAGGAGACTGTTAGATGAATAAATGTATGTAAATGATAAGGCCTTGCTTCGGCTTTATATAGAGTGGCCGTCAAGCAAGGAGCAAGCTACGAAAAAAAGTAGTTTTTTCGTCGTCAGAGAGAGAGACAGAGAGAACGATTTTTTATATGTACAGGTGGATATAGTCATACGCGGTTTATTTTTTCGCTCGTATATAGTGATGGAGAGAGAACGACTTTTTATTTTCTTTCAATATATTTTTTCTTCCATTGTATGATACAACATCTTCATAATATTTCTTATAAAATTACATTATCAATTGCAAATTTGCGTAATAAAAAAGAAAAAAAATCGAAAGGCCTTGCGTCACAATATTTATTATTTCCAGTAGATGTATCCTCTCCTTTTTTTGGTTTGTTTCGTGCTCTTCTATTTAATACAAAATAAAACTTAAAAAAATCACATTATTTCCTGTATTGATTAACAGCTTTATGTATATTTATTTTAAGTACTTGCTGGGAAAATATTTTATTTTTAAAAATAAATTAAATACATTTTGCAAAAAAAAATGAATTATTTTTGATTGTCAGTTAAAGAAAAAGACATACTTACGAACGTATACCGCATCGCCTCTTTGTTTCTTCAATGGTTGCATTAAATTCAGTTTTGTACGTTTTTGATGGTAATACGAAGATAATAAATGTTAACATCGATGGGATAAATGAAAGATAATAACCAGTCAAATATAACCATGGCTCTCGAGCTGATTTCATACATCCACTTGAAACTGAAATAATTAGACGAGGTATATTTACCAGTACTAATAAACATGGAGCAATCAAAAGATGTCGATGTTGTTGTATTTGATAATTTAAATGTTGTCGAAGTGTTTGATCACGATGAACATTTCTACGATTATAAGCTAATGATTTAATAATCCATAAACCACAAATAATATTAATTAAAAAAGTAATAAGAAAATGAAAAAGTGCAATAAATGAATTATAAATATTCACAGAATCTGAATATTTAACAAAACACCAGATTCGTTGTTCATCAGTATCCATATCATCGACTAACTTACGATGAAGAGGATCATGAATATGTGTCAAAATTGTTAATATAAATACACTAATAATTACCCATTTTGATATTTTTCTACTTTTCTTCTTATTAAAAGAAGTACCTTTAGTAGCACTAACCATTCTTTCAATAGCAACACATGCATTTAACCATTCATTTGATGCTAAAAGAATTTTAAAACTAACATCAATTGTAATACAATTAAAATAAAGAAAAGATCGATTAGTTATTAAAGACATCTGTGATAAAGTTAATAACCAAAATTTAATTATTAGAAGAATTATATTAAATATTGAAGTAAGCGATGAAAATAAAAGATAATAACCAGTACCAACTTGTCTTAGTTTCTTTTTACGAAATAATAAAAATGATAAAACTCCATTAAATAATCCTAGAAGAAACAAAGTTGTACTAATAACAATATTTAATTTGATGATTAATGGTTGTTGATTGAGTGAAACATGCGGTTGAATATGATAACCAAGTATAGCATCAAGTGAAAAAATGATACCTTCAGTAGAAAATTGGCATCGAGCGCCGTAAAAACAATCTGGACATATACACGTAAGTTTTGTTGGACATGTGTTATTATTTTGAAAACCTTGACCACCATTTTCACAATAATTATATCCTTGATAATCATTATTCATATTTTTATCAAATAGAAAACAATTAGAAAATCGATTTGTATCACATATACACATAAGATCTTCATCATAGAAGCACATTAATTTTAAATCTTGTCGACATAAAAGTGGATAATATTTTGTTCGATTAAAATATCCATATTGTGCAAAAGTATTGTTATCAAGTTCGTCAATAGAAGAACAACGTTGTTTTGATTGTATTTCTACAGAGATATTTTCAGAAGGTATGTATACTTGTCGAAGTACTACTAAATAATAATATTGATTAGGAATTTCAACGAGTAAAATATTAAATGGTTGTGATACGTAAATTGTAAGAATTTTCTGATAAAATGAAATTTTTTTCAAAATGCTTATACGTTCATGTTCAGCATCGTTGAATCCCGTTATAAAATGTAGTAGTAATGAAGTTGTAGATATTATTTTGTCATCTAAATGTATATCAATTCGATTGTTTTTATTTTGGCATCGTTCGCCTGAATAACTCTCTGGACAAAAACAAGTAAAGCCTGTTGAACTAATACGATCATCAGTAGGTATACAAATTCCATTGTTTTGACATAGATTATTTGATGTTTGACAAACTGAATGTTTCAGATAACAATAAGTACCAAATTTATATAATGGACAGATACAGCTCGATGAATCTACACAAAGCGAACCATTCGCACAATCACATTTATGTGTAATATTACAACGAGTACCGGAATATCCTTGATCACAATAACAGAAGAATAAGAATTTTTCATTAATGTACCTTTTACATTTGCCATGTTCTCCACAAGGTAGAGAACATGGTTGTATTTCTGGTATTTCAGGAATTGACAGTTTAGCGGCTATTCGATTGACAGGTAGAAATCGAAAAGGTATCGATAGATACCAACTAGCCCAATAATCTAATTTGGTTTTTTCATAAAGATCAATACGAATTGAATAATTATTTAACAAGTTTTTCGGTCGATCGGGATAAAGTAAATAAATATTAAACTTTGTATCACAATCACGAGTAGGTATATATGTAATTTGTTCATGATTAGATGTACTGCCATTATCTTCATCAACAAGTATGATTATAACTTGAAATATAGCATTAATAGATGTCATACTATGGTATATTAATTGAAGTGATAAACTAATACGTTGATTCTGCCATTGACAACGAGAACCAAAATAATTTGGTGGACAGAAACATTTTTTCGTCTCATCCATACCATTTAGCACAGCAATACCTCGATGACAGAATGCAGTTAATTCAGAATCGATATGAAACATAATCTTTTCTTTTTTATGTATTTTAGACATAAATGAAACGGAACGATTCGTCGATATTTCTGGATAATTACCCAATCCTGTAGATTTGAAAAAGCGTTCAAAATCATCATTACCAGTTCGTAATTCAAATTCACATAGATATTCTTTGTTTTGAAAAATTACGACAGGTTTTATCCACATCAAACCTCCATACTGATAAAGGCATAGTTCTTCTTCTTCAGTAGATTCTGTTTGTAAATCATGATTTATGCGACAAAGTTTATCTAAAGTGATACATTTACTATCATTCCATGAGAAGTAATCATCGTTAATATTCGTGGTTTCATTGTAAAAGTAGAATTCACGTAATAAATCTGTGTCATCACAAGGATCAAGATATTTCTCGTACATATGAACTAATGGTATACAATAAGATGATTCGAAATGTTCTTTATAACATACAAGTTCATTAAAAGAACATTTTGTATTAGGACAATTGAGTTCATCTGCACCATTTGGACAATTCCAATATTTATCACAATTTGTGTATGGATTATTACATGGCCACCAATCACAATTAGTTTCATCGGTTTCTGTGAGCTCAAGCGGATATATTTTTCTGTTATTGTAATGATTGCATAACTCTGGAAATGGTGTTAGGATTATTAAATTTTGCGTGTATGAAAATAGTTCATCCTCGGTCGAAGGACAATCAGCAAGTCCATTACCAAGTGCAACTGATGATAAACATTTGTTCGAATCTGATTCACATTTAAATCGATTTGAATCGTTCCATTGACAGGTGTTAAATGATTCGTCTTCTCTCCAAATACAATCTGATGCACCATCCCCGACTCGATAATTGGGAATACATTTCTTGGATTCATTGCAATAAAAATAGGATGAATTTATACATGAGTTTTCATTACTCATTTTCAAGCATTGATGATAATAAAAGCCAAAAGATGCCACTAAATCATTAAAATCTTTCGCTTCAGTAAATTCTGTTAGATTTGAAGGATGACAACATGTTAGTCCATTAATTATTTGTATAGAATCTATTTTCGTTAATAACATAGGACAACTTTGTTCATTAAAACATACCAAATCAGGTATAATATTTTCTTTGAATTGATCAACCGAACGATTAGTAAAATAAAGAAATTGAAAAAAACCAAACAAAATAGGATATGCCGGTATTATTAACCATTCCGAGGAACAATGTTGAGCCAAAGGTTCACAATCATTATTCCATACATCTGCAATAGATGGAGGTGGCTTCAGAATAACCAGTCCGTTAAATTGATCTAAAACATTTACAAAAAAGCAATATATTACATAGACCGAGATCAAGTCGAAAGCTTCCTCAATGATCTTTTGATATTTAATTAATCCACATATATAGCCAGCAAACTTGGCACATCGTCTACGATTTGTTATGCTAGAAATTATAAGTATTAGACAGACAAAAAATTTTCTCACCTAAACCGAACGTCCGATTGAGATGAAGTGCACAATAGAATGCTTTTTGACAATTGATATTTGTAATATGATCCATTGAGTTAAGCATGATTCGAGTTAATTCGATGTCCCTACCATTAGAACACCTTTTCTCATCAGCTGGCAGATAAGTATCTGTCAGATATTCACCATCACCACATGGAAAAGACCAAGGATATCGACCAATACGTTCTTGACATCGAAAGGTTGATATATGCGAACAATCTGGATGCATCACTTTATTCAACGAACGAGATTCGGCTTCATCACTACCATCTAAACAATCAATACTACGACTACTATCTTTTGCAAATGTCAATGAAATACATTGACCGCCATAATGACAGCGATATTCATTATCAG